GACCTCCCCCCCACCAAAAAAAGGCTTTTCCTGCCCTGGTTGGCAGATCTCCGCCTCCTGAGTAGCTAGGATGACAGGTGTGAGCCACTAACACTGGTCCTAAGGCTGTAAACAACCTATCTCTAAATCTGAAGGCTCCAATAGAACTTGTACTAGGTCCTAATGCACAGTGGCCAGTTGGAATTAAGGATCAGATGAGCAGCCTAAAGCATCCAGCTTGGGGAGCTCTCCGGTAATAAGCCGTGGTGGGGCCAGCTCTGACCTGGTAAAGGCTGGGAGTCGGCAGGGTCTGTCTCCCCTCCCCCAGGCCAGCATTGCTGTGACAGACAAGACTGTGGAAGGGAATGGAGTCATCTTTTGCCTCAGCACCAGTCTGCCCTTTGATTTGGGCCAGAATTAGCCCAGCCAGCTCTCCTGCTTCATTCAGAGGTGCCAGGACTGTAATGTGCAGCTACTGAGGCAAATGGGGGTGGGGGAGGAGGGTGGGACAGGAAAAATTATACGTGATCCAGTCCTAAGGTGGAAGCTTTACAATGCCCGGAGAGGCACCAGACCATTCAAATCAGTTGAGTAAAAAATAGGCTTTTTTCTTTTTTGGTGCCAGAGATGGGACCCAGGACCTCCCATAGGTGAGGCACATATGAGCTACACCCCCCTAGCCCAAAACATGCCTTTGTTGTTGTTGTTCAGGTCCTGGGGCTTGAACTCAGTGCCTGGATGCTATCCAAGAACTTTTTAGGCCAGGACTTTACCACTTGAGCCACAGCTCCACTTGCAGCTTTTTGGCTTTTTGGTGGTTAATTAGAGATAAGAGTCTCATGGTCTTTCCTGCTCTTTGAATCCTGATCCTCAGATCTCAGCCTTCTGAGCAACTAGGATTGCATGCATAAGCACTGGTGCCTAACCAACACATCTTTTCGATGCATGCCCGGTGGTGGATGTGCTGAGCCTGTCAGGCCAGAAGGTTGGCCGGCAGCTGGCGCTGGCTGCAGATGCTTGGACACCTCTGGCCCCACGACTCCCAGTGTAGCAGTCTTGGCCTGGAACTGTTGTGAGTGGCTGGGCTGGCCCTGAGCCACAGTAGGAAGAGTCACAGAATGAGCAACCCCCGGCCATCCCTAATATAGCCATCCGCGGGGCCCACGATTTGTCCTGCACTGTCACCCGCCATGCACCCTACTCTGCCCTCTCACCCCCACAAACTAGTACAGGAGCAGGACTGGGAGAGGCCTGGTCTGGGGAAAGGGGCATCTACTCGAGGGCTTTCCCATTCTGTGCTTCTGGTGGAAAGGAACGGATAGGTGGCTGATTGCGTGGCCACTTCAGATGGTTTGGCAGAGAACCCTCTAGGACCGAAAGCACAGGACAGAGGTGAGGCACAGCTACTCGCAGCTAAGAGTTTGTATATATTATCAAAATCTTATGGAAAAACAGATACACAGCTATTTATACAACAGCAGGTGGGTGTGAAGAAAATGTCTGCTTTGGCATCAAACCTTCCAGTCCAGCTGCTGTCCGTCCCGTCTGGAACCCATTCTTCACCAGGCACTGTCTGCCCAGACCAGCTACTCATCATGCGGGTACCCCCAGTCCCTCCTGCTCTGCCCTCTGGATTCCCAGCAGGCCTACCACCCCCTGCCATGGTCCCACAGAGTGCCACCCTCCCTGCAGCTTTGCCCCAAGGGCTCCACAGAGGCCTGAATCCTGGCCCTGGAAGGCAAGGGCTGGGTAGGTGTGTGGTCTCTGGGGGAACGTCTCTGTGAGATCAGAGGCCTTTCGCAATGTGCCAGTCACCCGGGCCCTGAGACGTGCCATTTTCTCCGTGATGATGGAGGACTCCCCATATCCAGAACCCTCAGCTCCAGGTGTCAAAGCAACTGTTGGAGAGTCTCAGAGACAAGAAAAGGAAGATAAGCAGAGATGAGGCATCCTCCCTGGAGAGAGGCCCAGGCCTGGAGCTCCCCCTGTGGCAGGACAGGAAGAGCCACAGCAGGTCAGCCAGGGTGGGGTGGGCAGGGTCTGTGCAGCCCTGGGATGTGAGCCTGGGCGGTCATGGCCTTGGCACCAGTGCCTAGCAGCCTGGCCCTACTGTAGCAGCTTGGGCACCTCCACCTGTGGGACAAAGCAGAGGTGAGTTAGTGCAGGGGTTTTGGCAGGGAGCCTCTGGTCCCTGCAGGACCCACGACGCCCCTTTCAGGAAGGCGCCTCCTGCAGGCAGCTCAATCGCATCTGGGGGGATGGAGGCATGAGGTGTTTGACACTGAAGGTGCATTGCCTTTTCCTTATAGACTAGACGTCACTATGTGTCCCTGGAATCACAAATGAGGCTGTCCTTCGTCCCTGCATGTCTAGTCATAAATGATGAAGTGTGTGGTGGGTAGGGTGTCTAGTCAGATGGAGAAATGACCCCAAACACTCTCAGTCAAGTGGGGCTTCAGGGAGCTAGTGGCTATGAAAATACAAAGTCCAGGGAGGGTCATGTGTTCATGGCCCTAGGTAGGGAACAGATTCTCCAGTCAGAAGCAGTGTTTCACACCTGTAATCCCAGCTACCTGGGAGGTGGAGATTAGGAGGATTGCAATTTGAGAGGTCTGGATAAAATCTTAGTGGGAGGGCTGGAAGTGTGGCTCAGTGGTACAGCATCTGCCTAGTGTGAGGCCCTGAGTTCAAACCCAAGAACTGCCAAGTAAAACAAAGAAAAAAACCATACCTAGTATATTAATATGGAGGATGAGGGAGAGAGAGTCTGATCAAGCATATCTGGACATGTTCAAATAACCCCCCCCTGTACAGTTAACAGATACTAATTGGAGGAGGAGGATGCAAGGGATGATACTGATCAAAATGGGCTTGGACTAGGATGTAGCTTGGTGGCAAAGTGCTTGCCTAGCAAATGTAATATCCTGGGTTTGATTCCCCAGTACCAAAAAAGACAAAAAACATACAGGGCTGGGAATGTGGCTTAGTGGTAGGACGCTTGCCTAGCATGCATAAAGCCCTGGGCTCGATTCCTCAGAACCGCATAAACAGAAAAGGCCAGAAGTGGTAGAGTGCTAGCCTTGAACAAAAGAAGCCCAGGGTCAGTGCCCAGGCCCTGACTTCAAGCCCCACACTGAGAAAAAAAAAAAAAACAGTTAAAAAACGCACTGTCTTTATAACTTCTGGAATTGAAATCCTTTTGTACAACTACATAATAATAATAAATCTCTTAATAATAAATCTCTTGTGACAAATGTAACATGTGACATTGCATCATAGAGCTCAATGCGCCCTGAATAAAATAAGATTAAGTGCTTCTTCAATGAAAAAAAATGAGTGCCTATAATCCTAGCTCTTCAGGAAGCTGAGATCTGAGGATCAAGGTTTGGAGCCAGCCTAGGCAGAAAAGCCTGTGAAACTCTTATCTCCAATTAATCACCAAAAGGCCAGAAGTGGAGCTGTGGCTCAACTGATAGAGAGGAAGCCTTGAGTGAAAAGCTAAGGAATAATGCCCAGGCCCTGAGATCAAGCCCCAATACTGTCTCTCACACACACACAAGGAAGGAGGGAGGGAGGGAAGGAAGGAAGGAAGGAAGGAAGGAAGGAAGGAAGGAAGGAAGGAAGGAAGGAA